AGGATTGCCTTAGCTTAAGATATTTGTGATATCTTTGTGGTAGAAGGGTTTCTAATAACTTTTGTTCATTAGCAATTTAGTCAATATGTAGACTTACCAAGACGATCAGAAGAAATTCTACCATAGTATAAGACAGAATCAGTTAAAATATCTATTCTGCGTGATGGTCTACTTTCTTTTGTAATTCTGGCAAATCGACGTAAGTATGACCAAAGTCGTTCACATCCCTCTCCATCAGCCATTCCAAATCCTGGAATATTTCTTGGACTATACTTAAGCTATATGCAAATTGTATTAAATTTTAACTAAATGAATACATTAATTTTACTTGACAATCAACTTTGTGGCCATAACTATGAAAAACTGGAACAGCCAATTTAAAAAAACTTAATAAATCATTTCTTTTAACCTTCTGTTAATATACTATTGCATGACAGGTTATTTTTATTGATTCATACCTTAAGATGCTTTTCTAATGCACAAGCCACATCATATAACAGATTCACACTTTTTGTCTCTACTCTTCTTTTGATTTCTTCCATAGCATAAACAATATAAGAAAATCTATACTTCATATAATTAAGATAGTAATAATTTCATTAGCAAACCTTTCACCATGTCGTAATGAAAAAAATAAGCAAGGCATTTCATGTTTACAAACGGCTCCTACAATCCCTGTTTCATCAAGGGCACGAAATCTATTCTTTGACCGTAAAGCATTAGTGGCCAAAAACTTATTGCATTCCTAAAAAAGAATACAGCTGTAACGATTATTTCCCGACATTTTTAGAGTACATTATCATTAGCATCCTTCCCTGTGCTACCATTGTATTTATGAACAAAGTCATCAACTGATGATTGATTGCAAAAAACATCAGTGTCTAGGTGCAGAGGGTTAGCTACACTTAATCCCGCTGACATTTTCCTGCATAAACCAAAGTTAGCATCAATTGCTATTGTAGGGGCTTTGGCCTAAATTTAAAATTTGTAATGATCAAAAATTATATTTCATTCTTACAAAGAAACAAGCTGGACACCTTGTGCCATTATTCTCTCGCAATGGGAGTATTGATTTTAATGT